AAGCACGGACTGGGACTGATCCATCATTTACGCTCGGATCCGCTCCTGGAGTTTCTCTTCCCAAAGACTTCTCTTCCCTTCTGGACTGGATACGGTCAAGCGCTGGGTGAGACCCCAGATTTTCCCTTCTCTGTGACCTGATGGATGGTCGGTTATTTTTTGGTAACAGGCTTTGAGGATGATGTGGTTTTAGTTTGTGCCCACCTGACCTCACCTGTCCTGACATTTTGTTTCTCTTTTATAATTTGACCCAGTGATAGTCGGGGTTCACTCGCCCGCTCAAATTTTCCTCCCCTATTGTGTATTCAATTTTCTAAATTCTGCTTATTTTAGGCCTTTACATACGTAGTAGCATCAATTCAGAGATAATTTTGGAAACTATTTTTGGTTCTTATAAATAAGAAAATAATGAAGCATGTGAGTAAACATCTAAATGTTCATTTGTTGGGACCAAACTGCTATGACCTATTTTTTTTTTTAAACTTTTTTTAATGTAACAGTTGAATTTAGGGCCTTTTAAAAATTATTGTTTTCCTTTTATGTTGGAAGTTAACAAAATTAGCATGGTTTAAAAGAGAAAAAAAATTACACCCTACTTCTGGCCACTGTTTGTGTTCACTATTAGGCCTGGTGTGTGCTGGACCCCAAACTGCTTTGTAGCATTTGTGTCTCCTCCCTGCAGCTGGTTGTGACCCGAGTGCCCTTTCCAAGGTGACACGGTTTTCTAAGGAACTTCCGAATTCTTCTTGGGGAAAAATACAAATGGAGATGAGAATTTTTCAATATTTTTTATTAATCTTTTTATAAAACCAAAAAGCAGATTCCTCCTGAGCTGGTTGAGGACGGCCCTTAGGATGCATTTCTTTTTATCTTCTACTTTATTCTGGAGCAGTTTGTGAGGGTTCCCGGCCAGGTCTGAGCCTGGGCGGGGAGGCACAGCCGTGCCCGTGCTCCCCCTGTCCCTCTCCCCAGGATTGCTGTGCTGTTCCCCACACACCAGCTAGAGTTTGGTTTGTTTTGACTTGAACAGTTCCTGTTTAGCAAAGCCCCGAAGTTTGTTTATGCAAATAAAATACAATAAAATAAGTCGTAGGTGTAACTCTGCTTGGTTTGTGTCCTGAGTCGCTGGGTGGGAGCCTGAAAGGACCAAGGAGCAACAGGGGAGCAGCTCCCTGTTGGGTTTTATGCACTAACAGATAATTCAGCTGCTGTTTTGGCAGCCTGGGGACAGTGGTGATACAGCCTGGCCAGCAGGGGTTGTGTCACCGTGCACAGGAGCAGCTCCATCCTTCCACCAGGAGCTCACAGCCCCGTGTGCTGCCCTGCCTGTGCCCAGCAGCAGCTGCTTCTCCATCCCAAGGAGGCTGCTGGGGGTGCTGCTGGCTGTGCAGCCTCTGCACGAGTTCAGCTTTCCTGGCTGCTGTGGGTAACGGTGGTGGCCAAGAGCTGTTGGGCCAGTGCTGGGTTAATGGCACAGTGGTGCTTCCCTTCACACTCAGCCCTGAGCCAGCCTGGGGAAGTGGGTGCCCAGTGTGTGCCCAGCTCCTTGGTCTGAATGGCCACACCTGGGAGTGCAATGGAGCCTCTGTTCTGCCATCCTTCTCTGCCCTATGGTTGATTCCCAGCCCTCTCCCTGCCTCCAGCTCGCTATTGCTGGGTCAGATGCGTTTGGCCCAAAGGAATATCCAGGTGCGGCTGTCTCCTGGAGCAGGCAGTGGCCAGGACCAGCCGGGATCCCTGTGTCACACTGACCCTTCAGGCCCTGCGCAGGGCCAGCTGCAGCGTGACCACCCCTGCACTCACGGCCTGTGGGTTTCGGCCCCTGCGCGGTTTGGGTTTCACTTCCCCTGCAGCCGAGGGTGTCAGACCCGCTGTGGGACCCGGCCGAGCGTGAGCTCTCACCCCGGGCCGGCCGCGGTCCTGGCCACGGCTGTGTCACGCAGGGAAGGAGCCCCAGTGCCAGCACCGAGCCCCGGCGGTGGCACGGACGGCCCAGCCCTGCCCGGGGCCGGGGAAGGTGCGTGGGGGCTCCAGGCTGGGGGTGCCCAGGGGAGACACGGCTCTGGGGAGCTCTGCTGTGCCAGCGTCCCGTGCCCTCCAGTCCCACCCTCATCCAAAGCCTCTCCCACAGCCCAGACCCAGCACTGAGACTCCCCTGAGCCCGGCCCTGGTGTCCATCCAGCGCTGGTGCCCCGCCGGGATGGCCGGGCAGCCCGGGAAGGGCACGCCGTGGGTTCGGGGAGCCGGAGTCCCCCGCGGGGCGCAGGGATGCAGTGAGGAGCAGCGCTGAGGTGCGCCCTGCCTCAACTTCCTTCCCAGCGTGGAGCCGATTTCCTCCGGCATCACGTGCACGGTGTGGGGCCGGGACAGCCTGGCACGGCTCGGCTCGGCTCGGCCTCGGGGCAGCCCCGCAGCGCCAGGTAGGAGGGAGCAGCCGAGGGTGCCCGCAAGGGAATCATGCCCAGGGCAGTGCCCGTGTGTGATCGCGCTGCTCCAGGGCTGGGCCGGACCCTGGGGCCGGGAGAGCTGCTGGGGAGGGGCGGGCAGGATGCCGGGCACTTCTGGGCACCATCTGGGCACTGCTGGGCACCATCACCCTGTGCCACCAGAGCCAAGGAGCACCGGGGCCTTGGATGGGGGTGTCCTCATCCCGCAGCCCTCGGTGCTTCAGCCGCATCTTTGGGTGGGAATCCCAGCACCATTTTGGTGTCTGCGAGGCCTCTGTGACAAGGGCTGTGCTGGTGGCAGCAGCATCAGGGCTGCTGACCCACCATGGGGTCAATGGCCCGCCACAGGGACATGGTGGCCAACCGCAGGGACAGAGTGGCCAACTGTGGTGACAGGGGGGCCTGCCATGGGGACAGGATGGTCCATCATGGCCCGATGTCCTGTACCCCACCTCGCCAGTGGGTTTGTCCTGCTGTGACCCCGGGGTTCAGCAGTTCAGGGATGCTGCTGTGCTGTGCCGTGGATGGTGGTGGGGATGACACCCTGCCCGTGCTGCAGCGCTCACTGCAGCTCTGCAGCTGCTGCTCCGCCTCGCACAGAGGAAGCGCCGACCACAGCAGGGCTGCTGTGGGGCTGGTGCAGGGCTGGGAGAGGCTGGAACAAGGGCCCTTCCCAGCACCTGATGATCCCCTTTGCTCCCCGCCAGCTGCAACCAGAGAGAACAACAAGCAGGGCGAGGACAGGGAGCCCCCCGGGTGAGTGCTGGGCTGGAGGAGAGGGAATGTGCCTGGGCCAGGGCATGCCACGAGCAGGAAGTGCTTCCTGCTCCTCTCTTGTCAGTGCTGGTCCCGGCCCCAGCCCTGCTTCTGCCTCCTCTCCCCAGAGCTCCCAGCACCAGCGAGGATGGAGCCGACCAAGCTCCCACTCACCAAGAGGATGGCTCCTGCTCCCCCCGTTCCTGCCAAGACCAAACCAGCCCCTGTGCTGGCCACCAAGTAAGAAATGTGACTGTGCTGGGGTGTCCAGGGCCACTGCGATGTCCCAGTGCCAGTGCCATGCTCACAGCTGGCCTTGGCGTGGGGCTGGCACCTCCCTGGCTGTGCCACTCATCCCTCTGCTGTCCCCAGGCCCAGTGACCCCCAGCCCAGCGCCTCAGCTGACATGGAGTGGGGCAGAGCCAGTGACCCAGGTAGGATGCAGGGGCCTGCAGGGGTGGCCAAGCCCTGCTCAGCACCAGGGGCTGATCCCTGTTCTTTCTTTGGCAGATGCCAATGGCTTCAACACGGTGTCAGTGACCACAGCCAGGCTGAGCCACCCCACAGCCACACGGCCACGAGTCCCCGGCCAGCGGCCACCCAGCATGGTCCTGGGGAGCACGGGGGGTCCCCATGGGGGGGAGCAGCCCCAGGGGCTGCCCCGTGCTGCCCCCGTCCCCAGCACGGGGCAGGCTCCTGTCCCACCATGGAGCACAGAGGGGCTGGAGGGGAGGTCACTGGCCCTGGAGGATCTGAAGGCTGAGGTCCGGACCCTGCACATCCTCGTGGACCTGATGCGAGTCCAGCACCTGTGAGTGGGGCTGGGGGTGCCGGGGGGTCCCCAGTGGCTCCTGGCTGCCTGTCCTGGCCCCAGCTGAGCCCCCCTGGCGTGTTGCAGGCGGGACCTGCAGGAGCTGCGGCAGGAGCTGTGCCAGGAGCGGGCTCAGCGCCAGGCGCTGCAGGTGAGTCCCTGCCAGGGCTGGCTTTGTCCTGGGGTGCCCTGTGCCCCCCAACAATCACAGCCTCTCCCCACAGGCGGAGATCGAGCGGGTGAGGAAGGGGCTGCCCTGTTAGGATGGGGGGCAGGTGGGTGGCACATGGTTCTGTGTGCCCCCCCAGCCTGGTTCTGCACCCATCGGATACCAAAGCCCACCCCAGACCCAGGCACTGCTCCCTGAAACATAACAGCCCCATGAACTACAGAAATCGTTTAAAATAAACTATTTTGGGTACAAAGTGCTGTGTGGGGGTTGCCCAGGGCTGCCATGCCCCTGAAGGGTTGGGCTGGTCCCACCATGGCACAAGGAGTGCCACCACGGCACAAAGGGTCCCACCGTGGCACAAGGGGTCCCACCGTGGCACAAGGGGTCCCTCCAGGGCCCGTAGCAGGGCTGGGGCAGGGCCTCCTCCTCCCCTTCCACCTCCCCCTCCTCCTCCACCCCCGCACAGTTTCCCAGGCCAGCTCCAGTCCCAGCCCCAGCCCATCCTGGCCTCCAGCCACTGGAGAACATCTGGAAAACATCTGGGTCCCGCTGGCGCTGGCGGCGGGGGGGGAACCGGCCTGGGAAGGAGCTATTTTTATAAATCCTTCGGGGAGGGGGCAGCGGGGCCCGGCAGGCCGCGGGGCCGGACTGGGATGGGGCAGGATGCGGCCGAGCCCGGCGGGAGCTGCCGCATCCCTGGGGAGCAGCGGCCGGCCCGGAGCCCTGCGGGAACATCCGCCCCGCTCCGGCCGCGGGGTCACGGCGGGCGGCGCCGGAGAGGATCCGGCTAATTTTAGTGGGGCCGGGAAGGGAATTGCCTCGGGGAGGGGTCCAGGGCCCCCAGAACCCGGCCGGACCCGCCACGCCGGGCTCTAGTTCGTGTACAACAGCACCATGTTTGTGAGGCAGGAGCCCACGGCTCGCACGGGTGAAACCCCCGCTAGATCCAGCCAGGGCTGCCCTGTCCTTGTCCCCATCCCCGCGTGTCCGGGGCTGCTTGGCTGCTGCCAGCCGTCGTACCAATGGCTCAAAGTGCATCGTGTCCCGCAGTGGCGGGGGCGAGTCCAGCCCCGAGGGTGCCCGTGACACCGGGGCTGGCTCTCGGTGCTGCAGGGACAGTCCAAGGCAGCTCCGCCAGCCCGGGGACAGCGAGCAGCCCCCGTGTCCGCCTGGTCCCTCCTGGCACGGTGCGGGATCGGCCGCGGGGTGCACACACCGTGCCGGGGCAGCTGCCGGGCTCAGTAGTAGTGGACGCGGCCCAGGGTGCCGATGGTGCCGATGGTGCCGGAGCCCAGGATGTCGGGCTGCCCGTTGCGCCAGATCTCGCGGATGATGCGCTCCCGCTCCTCCAGCCGCTGCGCCCGCTCCAGCTCCTCGGCCGACGCGAACACGTTCACGGCCAGCGCTCCGTCCCCGGGCCCGTGGCTCTCCAGCGGGATCTCGGTCACAGGCAGCAGCGACTCAGACGCCGCGCGATCGACGGTGTCCTCTTCGTCCTCGTCCTCGTCCTCGTCGTCCTCGCTGATGTCGCCGGGGCGCGCCGGGGGCCGCGGGGAGGGCCGGCAGGACAAGCGCAGCACCAGCAGGCACAGCGTGAGCACCAGCCCGAAGCACACGCCCAGCACGAAGTAGAGCCCGAAGCTCTCGGGGTTGGCTGCGGGGGGAACGGAGCGGGTCAGGGACCTGCCCGACTCCACCGGGGGCCCGCGGCGCCGCCCAGCCCCGTCCCGGCTCACCTCGGATGTGCGCGTACGCGGCCATGCTGTTGCTGAGCAGCTCCATGTCCCTCCGGCGGCTCTCCATCCTGGGCCCGGCGGTTCTCAGCGGCTCCAGGGGCGGCACATGCTGGGCATCTGCGGGACACGGGCTGAGCAACGCTCTGCACGGCTGGGATCCCCCCCTAGTGCCCCGTCCCTTTCAAGGCTGTGCCTGGGTGTGCCCTTGATGAGCTCCAGCTGAGAGGGCTTCAAGCCTGGGCTGGAACCCCAGGGATGCCGAGCCGGAGCCGTCCCGCTCCCGCCGCCCTCCGTCCTTCCTGAGGGAGCGGGACGGATGCGGCTCCTCCTGGCCCCGGCATCAGGCGGGTCTGTGGCACCGGGCCAGGGTTGTGTCCCATGCCCGGCCATGGGATGGGTCACGGGGCACAGCAGGACCCCAGCACCAGTGGCTGGTGGTGCTCATGGGCACACACGTGTGCTCCACACACTCTTGGGCAGTGTCCCTGTCCCCCACGCTGCTCCAGCCCAGCTCCAGCCTTGGCCCTTTGCCGTGGGACCGTGCAGGGCAGGGACAAGGCCAGGCACAGTGCAAAGGCCACCAGAACAGGCCAGCGGTCAGAATGGGAGGCAGGACAGCAGGAAGGATGGGCAGCAGGGCAGTGGGAAGGATGGGAGGACAGCAGGAAGGATGGCAGCAGGGCAGTGGGAAGGATGGGAGGCAGGACAGCGAGCAGGGCAGGGAAGGGCAGGGTGGGAGAAAATTTGGCCCTGGCAGGGGACGAGCTCATTCCCAGAAAGGGCTCCAGAGAGGGAGGAATGAGGAAAGAAATGCAGAAAATGTGACACATCAGCAAAACCATCCCGGACGGTCCAGAGCTGAGGGGCCGCGGCACATTCTGGGGCTGGGCAGCCCCTCTAGTGGGACACCCCAAAACAAGGCCAGCAGGGTCCCAGAAGGTCAGTGCCCTCCCCATAGAGCAGCTACACGGCCAGCCCTGCCCGGCAAGGGGCTGCGGTGGGGCTGGAGGGGCACAGCCCCCCATGGATCCCCTGCCGGCGGTGGGGCATTGATGGGGGCCGGGCTGGCTGTAGGGCCTGCGGGTCCCCAAGAGCCGAGCCCCGAGCTGCTCAGTGCTGTGTCCCCGAGCATTACACCGTGTCCCCAAGCCGCCCGCTCCGCATCTTCCGCTGTGTCACCGAGCCCTGTGCCCTCAGCCCCCGTGTCCCCGCACCCACCAGCCCCGCGTTCCCCAACGCCAGAGCACCTGAGCGGGGCCGGCACCGAGCCTGGAACCCGCCGGGCCGAGCTGAGGCGCCCCGGGCGCCCGGTGCGAGCCCCACGCGGTGCCCGGGGCTGGTACTCACCGGGGCGGGAAGGCGGCGGCGGCGGAGCCGCTGCACTTTGGCTGGAGCGAGGGAAGAGAGAGCAAGGTCTGTTTAGCATTAACGCTGCAGCAACAGGAAATAGTTCGGAGGCGGCTGGCGGTCAGCGCTCCCGCCGGAGCCAATGGCAGCCCCGGCCGGCGCTGAGCGGGGCGCGGGGCCGGGGCTCGTCCCGCTCCCCCGGGACGCCACGCTCGGCCCTGCGCTGGAACCGCCCCGCAGCGGGGCCACGGGCGGCTCCAGGCCCCGGCCCGGCCTTGGCCAGCGCCCATCCGGGCTTGGCGGTGCCGGGGCCAAGGCGAGCGCTCCGGGCTGGGGGCTCGGCCCCAGAGCGGGTTTGAGGGAGCTGCGGGGCCGGTGCCAGCCCTATGGAGGTGGCGGCCGCGCAGGGCGGCCCCCTCAGCCCCACCGGCCGGGTGTGGGACACAGCACACCTCGGGGACACGAGGCTCCGCATGCCAGCGCTGTCCCCAGGCTGGCCGGGACGGGCCCAGCGGGACTCAGGGCACTGGGCCTTGGGGCACGACAGGGCTGGGGGGCCCATGGGGCACCCAGGGCCGCTGATCCGTGAGCCTGCCCCCCTCCCAGAGCACATCAGTACCCCAAAATCCCCCATCCCATCCCACCCATCCCTCCCACCCTTCCCTGCGGGGGCACCGGGCTGTCGTATGAAGTTTTATTGCCGACATGCAGGAGTAGTTCCGATGTAGTACAAAAATAACGTCTTTATACAAATTTTTTTCCTTTTTTTTTTTTTCTTTTTTTTTTTTTCCTTACAACAGGCTCTGTCCCGCCGTGGCCCTGTGGCCCCCATGCCCCCTGCACCACCCCCTTCCAGTTTGCCTTAGCACAAGTGAATTGACCGGTGCTGCCACTGCAGGATCCTGGTGTGATACAGCCTCAGGGAGTCCCAGAATATTGCTTTTTGCTTTAACATTGGGGAAAAACAGTAAAAATAAACAGGGAATGAGGCAGGAGAGGACCAGAAGGAGAGAGCAGGGCCCTGCTGGGGTGCTCAGGGGATCCCTGCCCTGCTGCTGGTGGCACAGGGGGTGATGGGCCCACAGGACAGACCCACCATCTTCAAAATAAAATAAATAAGGCGAAAGAGTTGGGGCTACTGGCTCAGCTGGGGCGGTGCAGGGAGCTGGTCTGTGTTAGTGTTCACGGGGCCCTGCCTGGCCACAGGGCCCTGGCGAGGCGCAGGCAGGACATAATGCCCAACACGGCCAGGGAGGTTCAGGTCCAGCCCCCTGTCCCCACAAAGCCACTGCTGGGGTGGCCCAGCTTAGACCCCGTCCCCTTCCCCAGCCCGGGGCAAGAAAAGGCAACAACACGCTACAAACATCTGCAACTCGCTCCCTGCCCACGCCCAGAGAGCAGTGCAGCCCCAAACAGCAGGGCAGCCCCCCAGCTCCAACCTCCCTGCTCACAGGGCTGGCTGAGGGCGATGCCAGGGCTGGGAGCAGCCAGGAGCAGGGAAGGAGGCAGCTGAAGAAGGTGCTGCCTTGAGCAGGAGCCCTGGGCAGGGCACTGGGAGCCCTGGGAGCTCTGTGTGAGAACAGTTCATCTGGCAAGACAGGCATCCAGTTCATAAATGAGGCTCAGAAACAATCGTTCCTGCTCTCAGCACAGGCCAAAGCTCTTCCAGTGGCACCAGGTGACAAACCAGGGTGTCCTTCCCCTGCCTTGGCATGAGGGCAGAGGCAGCCCCAGGTTTGGGCTGGGATGGCAAGAAAAGCTGGGAACAAATACAGTAGAGACTTCAGCCAGCCCCTCCTATCTCTAGGCAAATTATTCTGGGAAGCTTTTCACATTATAACTCATATATTACATCTGTACCACAACTGAGGGGGGAAACGCTAAATCAGAATTAATGCAACTGTAACTGCACCTGGGATATGCTACTGAAAAATAAGATTAAATCATAGATCCTTAGAAACTAAAGGAATCAGTGAGAGATGGGAGAGGGGGCAGGGGCCCTGGCAGGCCAAGTCCTGTAAAACCTTTGAACAGGGGACAGGATCTGATCCCTGCCCCTGACTCCTCAACTCCTGCCTGAGGCGGTGGCCGGGCTCTCCGGTCACAGCAGTGGCCACACAGGACTGGCCAGCATGGCCAGACCAGGTGGCAAATAAGGACAAAAAACAGACTTGATGCAGATGAAGGGAAGTGGGAGGTTTCAAGAAATTCTGCCTTTCGAGAAACCCTGATAAATCCAAGCTTATTCAAACCACACGGAGCGGGCGCCACGGGCCGGCCACGGCTCTGTGCCAGCAGCTTCACCCTTGGAAGTCTCCTCCTCCTTTCCCACGGGCTTTGCTCGATCCAGAGAACAGCATGGTTAAAAAGACAAGAGAGGTAGATTACAGTCATGATCAAAAGCAGATTAGTCATCTAGGCTTCGATTTTAAAAAAAACAGATTCCAGAAGATGCCAAGAGGTTGCTGCTTCCAAAACTAGCTTTTCCAAAAGTCTCCTCCGTCCGGGGCGGGGGTGAGTGCGTGTCCCTGGACAGAGCTTGGGATTGCTACATTATTCCCTGTCGTGGGACACCGGTATTGCTGTAGGCTGGAGCGGGCGAGGTGAGGGCAGACTGCAGGGTGGTGCTCGTGCTCTTGGGGCATGGGAAGCTACTTCCGGAGGTACCTCTGGGCCAGGATGGCCGCGTCCAAAGGGTTCATGGGCTGCGCGTCGTGGCCCAGGCGCCGCACGGGCGGGATGTTCCCGAACTGCCGCTTCTGCAGGAAGCTCTTGGCCTCATGCAAGGTGTTCTTCTCCTCAGCCAAGAGCAGCTGCTGCCTCATGTAGTTCTCGAACTCGTACTGGGAGCACTCCTCCGTCACCTTCACCTGCAGAGAGCGAGCTGTCAGAGCCACACCTGGCAGCCCCACGGCTCCTCTGATGGGCCTGAGCTACCGCGGTAGCTAACACAGAAAAGGGACCTGCTGCTGGGGACACAGGCAGGACTCCTCGTGAGCTAGCAGTGCCACCAGGACACAGCAGCTCTGTCCTTACATGGCTCATCCCAGCCGTGGCAGCACTGAGGCTGCAGCTGCCTGACCCCTGTCCCTGCGGCACCGTCGCAGATCCTGCATGGCTGTCCCTGGGCAGCCAGGCCGTGGCCAACACTTCGAGCATGAAACAAACCGGCAGGAAAACAGGATGTTTGCTCCCATGGCAGAGCTCACTGGGAGCCAGAGCCAACACTGCTGCCTCCTCCCAGCATTCCCAGCTGTGGGAGAGGGAGTGAGCGCTGCTGGGAGCGGGGTGAGCTGCTCTCATCAGCTCCGGGGCCGAGCTCACTTCCTGGCAGCTCAGCCAGCTGGATGTGCCTCCTGCTCCCAGCAGCATCGGCCTTTCCTTCCGCTGCACAACGTGAGGGACTCGGCTGTATCCTCCCCACCCTCCCCTTCCCAGCTAGGGACACAATGGGTGCCATCACAGACAGCACAGAAAGCAGTTCTGAGGAAAGCATGGAAACCTACCTCCTGGGGGTTTTCAGGATTAGCCACTTGGTCATCTATGTCCGGCACCACTTGCAAAGGGCCACTCAGCGAGGACATGGACTGCCTGGAGGAGAGCACAGCATTGGGATCCAGAGCACGGCACTGGCTCAGCCACCCTCACCCACCCCAGGGTGATCCCACTGGGATGGCCATGGCTGCCATAAGCATTTGCACAGCCTCCCCAGCTGTATCCATCAGCACGCAGTGGCGGACACGTGGGATTTAAAGGCTTACTGCAGTTCCCAGACTCTCCTCTGGTGAGGTGAGCCAGCCACAGCTGGAACAACACAGCCTGTGGCCAGAGACAGCGTGTCCTGCCTCCCCTTGCACATACCAGGACGCTATGATGGAGCTGAGGGAATCCAGCACTTCAGAAGCCGTCAGCCGCTGCTGCGGGTCCAGGACCAGCAGTTTCCGGATCAAGCACACAGTGTTCTCTGAGACCCGGCCATCCCTGGGACAGACAACACAGGGTGAGCCTGGCCTGGGCACAGTGGGGCAGCATGGACAGGCTGGGAGCACAGGCCAGTGTCGCAGACAACTTTTATGAAAAATCTTTTCCTTAGGATTTTTCCTCCTGAGAAGCTGAGAAGCCTCAGGAACAAAATGTAAACATTGATTATCTGCTGCTGTGGAATGCAACAGGTGGATCTTTGATTGGTCCATGTTGGATGTTTCTAATTAATGGCCAATCACAGTCAGCTGGCTCAGACACAGAGCCCGAGCCACAAACCTTTGTTATTATTCTATTCTATTCTATTCTATTCTATTCTATTCTATTCTATTCCATTCCATTCCATTCCATTCCATTCTTAGCTAGCCTTCTGATTAAACCTTTTCTTCTATTCTTTTAGTATAGTTTTAATGTAATATATATCATAAAATAATAAATCAAGCCTTCTGAAACATGGAGTCTGATCCTTTGTCTCTTCCCTCATCCAAGAACCCCTGTGAACATGGTCACAGGCCAGGAGCTACAGGAGCCACCATTGCTCTGAGCCTGCGTCACCTTCCCACAAGCTGTCTCATCCCTGCTCCTGCTTCCTGCACACTGCCTGTTGTCAGTACTGCTGTGACCCTTGGGGTGCTGAGGGGAGCCCCTGCAGGTGCAGCTGGCCCAGCAAAGCCCAGCCAGCCCCCCGTGGGCAGGCAGGAAGGGCGGGCTGTACTCACTCGGGGATGGTGTACTCGGCAGCCTTGATTTTGCGGAAGAGCTCCTGAGGTATGCTGTCGTAGAAGGGGAACTGGCCGTAGAGCATGGTGAACAGCACCACCCCCAGCGCCCACATGTCACTGGGCTTCCCACGGTACGGCCGGCCTGCAGGGAGAGGGCACACACAGCCTGAGAATCCTGGGAAGCACAGCCTTGGCAACCCCCTCACCTCCCACCGCACAGGTGCTGAGTAACCCTCACATGGGACCTTTTTTCTAAGCATTAACCAAAACACTTAAAGCTTCCCAGAACATCACACTAAAACTCTAAGGCACATCCTCTGTGAACGAACAACACACTTGTGTCCATCTCCACACAAGTGTCCTCCTGTTCCCCATG